CAGTTCATCTAGTCAAAGCTCTGAGATTCTTGCACTACATGTGAATGCTATGAAGGCTATCTCTGTGTACTTGAGAGCTCAAGTGCCTGCTTGAATGACATATACAGAGGCAATACTTCATCTGAGTGATGGAGCACAAAGGGTGGGCTTCTCTGGTAGAAATTCAGTTCAGTTTTTTTCTCTGAACCATTACAACTTGTGACTCTCAGCAGTTGCTATATCAGAGCCTTGGTTTTTATTTGTTTTCTTTTAATGAACTAGAAATTTGTCGTCATGATATTACACAGTATTTTTGAGATGGCTAACTCATTGCATCAACTTGAATTCTAGATTAATGTTGATTATCTGGACCACTATTATTTAATTTTATTTTTGATGAATTAAAACCATGGTGGTCTTCTTCTGTCAACTAAATCGAAGTTATCAAAATGCTCTCTTGTCTTCTTTGTTAGAGCAGTTTTGGGAATCAGGATTAATATTAATTTCTCTAAGTATGTTTGAACTACAGATTACAATTGTAGATCTTAAATAATTTACAACAGTTGTCTCTTTGTCCACTGTATGTCTGTACCCCACCGTGCTGCAGACTGCTCTCTCCAGTGGTGCATTTTTCTGCCCTACACCAATTTCACCCTTTAAACAAAGGGAACTGTTGCTGGATCAAAATCTATCATGGATAACTCTACATAGTGTTGAATTTACTGTGATTTACCTGTTCTGCAAGTTCAAGATTTGGTGATCCTAGTGAGGTTCTGTGGGGGTTTTGAAAAGCAGGCACCCTTTCTGCTGGAAATGACCATTCAAGTGTAAATTTCAAAAATTGTTGAAATTGAAATTCTGCCAGTTGCTTGTAATTTGTGGCTGAGACTGTAAAGAGCTTATAGTGATAACTTCTGGAGAAGTCTCAATGGTTTGAAGATTATTCAGTTGGTGAGATCTGCTTGGAGTTGTGCCGTAAGCTGTGAGTTTTGTCAGAGTAGTACTTGTCAGTAAACTAATACTGCATCATAGATGATTACTGCATCATAGTAGATTTTAAAATATAAATCTAGATTTTGATTTGCATCATAAAGTTGCTGTATCATCTTGGGGTCTTGTAGAAACACTAGTTAGCTCACTTTTACTTGTGAGGTGACGAGTTATAGGCACTGGAGGCAGAGCAGGGCTGTCATTAGGATGGGAATTCTTTCCCACAGACTGCAGAGTCTGTCGGAAACTGCTGCTGTACCTGCTATGCTTAGCTGAGCTATTTGAACTTCATATGGCCCTCATCCCTCATCTTCTAGAACTCAGCTGCAGCTCCTGTACTCCCTGACCTGATGATGTTTTCTAAGTCTTAGAACTCAGTAACTTAGTAAGATCTTAGTAAGAGTCGGGGGACTCTTACTGCACAGGTTTTTTTAATCAGTACAGACTGAGAAAAGTGGATGAAGGCTTCATGAATGGGCGTCATTGAGGGCAGACTTTGAGTTTGGTCTTGTCTCTTACTGCAGTTGATGTTTTTCAGGCCTTTCTCTATGAACCAAGTTTTCATGTCTTGGGGACTACTTACAAATGCAGCAGCTCCAAAGAATGAGAAGGTGAGAGGTAGTGCCTTAGGCAGACCTGGGAGTCTGATGTAAACATCAAGTCTTTTCCATTTTGTTACATGTTTCTTTTTTCAGAATAAATGCGGCAGATCCCACGTCAGTGATGCTTGTCAGCTTTGCCCGGTAGTCCTTGGTAACCCCTTATAAGCCACATCAAAAGTGCAGAGGGATTGTGACTGATGCTGAGGTGCCAAATGATGTATTTTGGTGGAATCTGTTTCAAACAGGAGCACTGTTGCTTTTCTGGGGCAGGAGTAAAATGAGATTGATGATGCTCAGCATTGCAACACAAATGTGCTTGACCAAATGCCATGAGGTGTGTTTTATGGGCTGGCTAGAATGGGGAACCACGTGCCTTTGTCCCATCAGCAGCCATGCACCTTGTGTCACAGCTGTTCTCATGGGTGGGCTGTTTTATGTGTTTGAGATCTGTGGATTCTGCCCCTTTACCTTTTTGGAGATAATGCCTGTGCAAGAGAAATGTCTTTAGGCTTTAGGCTAAGGCTTTAGCTTTAGGCTGTAAAATATTGGGGTTTGAACCTTTTGAATGCTGGCTGTTTTCATCTGTGTTACTGTATGTTTATGAAAATATATATATTTGGTTAGTGTCCATTGAAGAGCAGAAGCTGATTCAGTTACACTTTCCAGAAAGTGAGCCTCAGATGTTAAAACTATAAACCTTGCATATATAAAAGCTAAGCAGCATTGAGCCTTTCTCTTCTGGATTGCCAGCTCAGTGCTGCTGGGCTCCTGTCTGAGAAGCTGGTGTGTCTTGGTGTGAGGTCCCCTGTGAAAAATTACATGTGGGCTTTGTAGAGGTTGGAAATTTAGATTCAGGGACATGCATGTCCAGGGCTATTTTTTTTTTTTTTTTTTTCACTTTGAACAGAACAGGAAAATGTTGGTTCTACTAAGAGCCCTTGTGTCAAGGCTCAAACTCACTTTGCTGTTTGAATTCCCACAAACTAACAACTTGAGTTACTTCAACCTGTGTGTGTGCCATCAGAAAAGGAAATGTAAGGGATGGATCAAGTAATGCCTTTTGGCCTTTAACTGTAGGGGAGCCTGCCTGATTCACTTCGTGTTGTGAAAGTGGTCTTATTGCAGGCACCAAACACTTTAACACTGTAGCTGCTGGGAATGGAGCTAGTAGGTGGAATGTGCTAAAATAAATAAGGGAGGTGTGACTGGAGGTGTGTTGCAGGGTTCCCCTGAAGTGGAGCATCAGTCCCTGGTGACTGTGAGACAGAAAATGGAGCACTGAAGCTCAGCATCTGTGTCTTCAGAGCTGTTCACTGTAGTCATTCACTTGCCTCAGATGCTGCCTCTTGACTAATTGGTGAAAGTAATAAAAATAGAGGTGCTCCATAACAGAAAGTACTAATCCTAATGTTTAATCATCATCAGACAAGAATTTAAGTAATTTATCATCAGAAATGTAAAACCTAAACCAATGGATTATGATGGATTTGCAGAATGTGTCATCTTTTTAATGCTGATCTTTTATCTTTAATACTTTGCAAGCTACTTTTGAAATTTTTTTGCAAGGCATTTAGTTAACTTGTGAGAGATTGCTAAACAGGAAGACAGCACTTAATGCAATACTGGCATGGGAGTTTACCTAAAGGGGATGTTGACATAGATTAAATATTAAAAATAACAATTTCCTATTGTGATAAAAAAATAAACGAAATATCCATCACTTAGTATTAAAAGTTCAAATACTTTCTAATTTTAGGGAGTTATTTTTTTTGGCGTGACCATATTGTCCAAAGGAAGTTGGTTATCTTTGTCATCCATGCCATATGTTGGTGTGGTGACAGAGCTTTTGTGCAGGGGTTCATTTTTCTTGGTTCCAGTGGTATCAGGTAGTCTCAGGATATGTGTATTGCTGAGTAAGATAAACCTCCCTGTTTCCTCTGATCCTGCGTTTGGCTTGGAGCTTCCCCATTCCCCCAGCTGACAGCCCTGATCTCCTGCCCTGAGTGTGCAACACTCTGTAGCCTCCCTGCAGGTGGGTATGCTGTGTTTCCTTGTTATGTTTGGTGCTAGGAAGTACTACATAGATACATTTAGAGTAATACAGTTTTTCTGAAACCGTAAAACTTCTTGGGCTTGAACAAGAGTTTAGAAATGGTTCGCTTTTTGGCAGTGTAGAAACAAGAAATGTATTTAACTGCCTCCTATTCTTGAATATTTGAATCTCACTGCATATTCACATACATTTAAAATAATTCAATTGTTTTAAAAATATTTTTTTAGCTTTTCAAATGTTTTCAATCTCCTTGCTTACTTGCTGGTACTTCAGTCCACTTAACATCTTTACCACATTTAACTTTATTTCCATGATTCATTTAAATGAAAACTATATATATGGCCATAAGAGATATAATCCAGAAAAAGTGTATTTATTCATGTGTAAGTTATGTGTACGTATGCATATCTTATATGTGTTGGACTTGATAAAATATTTAGAACAAATATTTGTTCAAAGCAAAACCTTAATATGACCTCTATTTTGTTCTAAGAAAAGACTGTGATGAAAAAGTAGTGATCTGGTTTTTCTAGGTAATTCTTCCTACCTTAGAAAGGTGAAGAAAATAGCTTTTGAAAACTGATGTAATGATTTTAATTGATTCACATTATTCTTTGATTCTTTTTTTGTTGAGGGAAGGGAAAACTGTAGCTGTACTCTATGGTAAAGCTCATTTTACATGCTATATTTATCGTACAGTTATTAAATGCAGCATATGCATCTTGCCAAGAGATGTCTCAAATGTTCCCTTCTGCACAAAATTTTGGTGTTCTGGCAGCCATGTAATGAATGCATTAATAGAAGAAATATTGGTGCTGGTTTCTCACAGAGGCTGTAGCGTCTGCCAGGAGTGGTTGATATAAATTAATGTCTGTGTATGGCATGCTGCTGTGTCATGTGGGAAAAGCTGAGTTTTTTTCTGAGTCGTGTTTGACAAAGGTGGGAGACCTGTGATAGTGGCAAGTTGAAGGACTGCTTATGAAAAGAAACAAATCAAAAGGGTTAAAAGAGGAGAGCTAGGTATGCAAAAAGTAGGAGGATATAATCAAGGGAAACAATATTAGCTAGAGAGAATGCTCATAAGAAGTTAGGAAGCTGGTTTGAAAAGGATATCAGCAAGCAAGACACTGAAGATTTTGATAATTGCAAGATAAGTACAGAAAACCATTCTTGGATATGCCGTGTTATTCTTTAATTATAATGGATAGTGGCTTAATCATTGCTGGCATGCCAGTCTCTGTTGTAATGTGCTGCCTGAGGCCTGTGAGGTGCAGGAGGTTATTTGCCAGGCTGCAGCACTGCACATCAGGCTGGGTTAGCAAAAAACAGCAGTACAGTTTGTTCATTGGGGAGACAGAGGGTCTTGGGTTTCTCACATGCATCTTTTTCCACTCTCCTTTGAAGGTCAAAAGAGCTGATGAAGTCATCGTTGTAAAAGAGGAAATAGAGAGGGCAAGGAGAGAAAGGGCTGCAAGGTGAGAGAGAGGGGCAGGGCTGCTGCCAGGGCTGAGGGGCAGAGCCTGCAGGGAGTGTGGTGGTGCATCCATCCTGGCCATGGCAGCAGGGCCCTGGCTCTCACTGTGTGGGTTCTGGAGCAGGGTTAGCTGGGAGCAGCAGCCGGCAGGCACAAAAGGCTTCCAGAGCCCGGGTTGATACTGGAGAGCCTTCTGCTGGGGTAATGTTGGAGCTGACCCAGAGGGGAACTGGATGAGTGCGTGTGGCTGCGAAGGAAAGCTGCTGGGGAGTGCTCCCCTCTGTGCGCTGCCACGTGCCGGGGGAGAGGGCAGCAGCTGTCCAGACCTGAGTGTGTCACCGCCTGGAGGAGGCAGGGAAATCCTGGCTCGTGCCATGATTGTGTGGGTGTCTGAGTACAGAGGAATAAGTATTGTTTTATTAGATCAGTGATAGTTTTATCTTCTTTTAGTTTTGCTTTATATAGAGGTGTCAGATTTTGAACTCGTTCCCTCAATACTAAAATTGTACCTCTAGTTCTTCAAAGACTGAACTGAACAAAATCCCCCATCAAAAACCTTTGATATTTTCTTCTGCTTTCTGTTGCCGTGAAGCAGCATTGCAGTACTTGATGAGTATTTGAGTATTATGGAATGAGATGGAAATCTCATTTCCTAATACTTCATAGCAATGCTTAGTGCTACCTTACACTGTATTATTTCAGTATTTCAAAAAATCTGTTTCACAGAGAAATATGAATTGATGTGCAGTTTATCAAATGGCTATTAATTTCTTTCCCTTTTTAGTGTACTTGGCAACATCTGGAGCTACCTTTTCTTGCCTCTTATTTTGCTCTGGCAAGTCATGTTTAAGACTTGAGGCATTATGAAATACCAGCTGTTTGCTAAGACTTATGATATGTAAAATGCAATCTAAACTGACATATGTATAGTAAGCATTTGAATTTTTATATTTAAGAGAAAAGTGTTCTCTCAAGGCTCAGTGAATGCTACTGGCATCAGATTACCACATCTTTTGGAAGAATATCGGTCAATAACTCTTTTTGTCATCCTATACTAAATGTCAATAGTGAATGTCCTGGTAACATGAAACACTGAAGGACTGCTAGTAGGATATTTGTTTCTTTGTATATTCATAACATGAAACATTAGACACAAATTGCACACTATAGAGGTATTGTAGCAATTTGTATAAAAGCCACTGGTGTACTGTTTAAAATGCTCTTGCAGACTACAGGCATGGTTATATTACAATCCAAAATATTTTTTGCCTTTACTTTCATTCCGAATTTTATTTTATAATTGGTTAATGGATATTCAGTTAATCTGTCAACTTGTTTCTTTGCTCATTCTATTCCTGAAACTTATTTAAATAATGCAGAGATTATGGTATAGCCCTACAGAAACAAATAAACAAAAAATAGATGTAGCTATAATCAAATATTTTCTGAAAAAACTCCAACCAACCCAACCCAAAAACACCCAACAAAGCAAGCCATTTATTAAAGCACATTTTTAACCGGTAAAGTTTAGCAGAACAAGATGATTTGTGTTTCCAAAATCCTTAGATATGTCCTTTAGTTCTTGGAACCATCAAATTTAGCTACTTGTTTTTGAGTTGTATAATGGTATGTGCTGTATAATCTACGCCTAGGGTATTTTGTACCATTGCTTGTTCCTTCATTCACACTCTTGCTACATGGAAAGAAGCCTGAGAGTCAACTGAAATAGAATTATTAGAACTTGGCCCTTAAAAATGTTAATTGCCAAAGCAGTCTGACTTCTCTGTTATGCAGGAAACTTGAAGGTAAAATTAAGGAATGAACGTGTTATTTTGCTTGCACACACTCAAAACTAAGATACTGTAATAATTATGGCATCATCATAGCTTGTATAATTCCTTGTGCTCTGCTTGTGTGTTAGCAGCCAAGATTTAAATTGTACTTACGTGATCCAGTGACTGACTTCAAATTCCCATCAACTACTGCCTCATGTAGCAATGATGCCTTACATCAGCTGATAAAAGGCCATGAGGACCATGGTATTTTTCCCTCTGAATTTCTCAGGATCTATGAATAACGCGGTCTGATTCCAGCACAGAGAAGGTTAAAGGCAGATGGAGGACCACACCTTCTCTGCACTCATGTCCCCTCAGATTTTAGGTGTCTCTGGATGGAGGTATGGTGCTGACATAGTGCTACCATGTGAATTGTAACTTGAAGTGTGAATGCTCATTAATCCCACTTATCTCAGTAGGATTTACACCAAGATTTGAATTTCTTTTACCTGGAAAAAAGTAGAGCATAGGAAACACCAGAGAGAATGCTCAAACTATTGCTATTGCCTGCAGCATCTATCACTCTCAAAATAGAAAGAGTGAGACTCCCTGAGGTGCCCTTGCAGGCTGCTTCCTTTGGGCTTATGGTCAGTTGATGTGTGGTTGGTTGAAAAGGGATTTCTGCCAAGCTTTTAAAACCTAACTTATATTGAGGCAGCTACTTTGAAAACCTCTTCATGCTACTTTGTGGCTCAAGTTTTGCATTTCACAGTAGTACCAGTTTTGCTAAATTGTGTGAAGTTGTGTGCGGAAATATTTAGGTTTCACTTTGTCTTAATGGTTTACCTTCCACGTACGTGCATAAAGTGATGCAGAATGTCAGGTTGGATCACATTCTTTTCTGAATTGGGAAGTTCTTATTTTTAAACGTTGTTGAAAATTCCAGCTGAGCTTTGATTTCCCACTTTCCTTTTCTCTCGCTCTCTTTTTTTTTTTTTTTTGTCTGGATCTCACTTAGCTTTTTGCTTGATGTAAAGTAACAATTTTTGGGCCATACCCCAGAGGGCTTGTTTGGGATGTTGTGTATGTACTCTCAATCGTGTTTGGTTTGATTGAATTCCCAGAGCATTTTTAAAAATGCAGAGCATGTTCAAATCTTAAGTGGTCTTTAACAGGTGTGTAATGTCCTGAGGTTTTATGGGAGTCCTAAACAGGGTTAACTTGAGCCATTTTGTTTTGAGTTCTGCCTTTCCTGATCTTCTTTTTTTCCATCACAAAGAGGGCAGTGAACATTTAGCTACCCAGTGCCTTGATGTTAATCACTACAAGTAGTCATGAAAGTTATTCAGGGTCTGTGTTCATTCAGTTTGCATTTGTGGTTGGCAGTGCTGAATATGGTGATGCATCTTCTCTGTGGATTCTGCTGAGGCTGCTGGTTCCACTGCAGGTATGCTGAACAGATGGCACTCTTTGTAAAGCTGAGGTTTAGCTCCCCAATTGTTCTCAGTGATGCCTTCAAGCAGTATTGTTGGTTAGAAGGACTGTGTGTCAGAAAGTGCTGGAAGCTACTGGTACTGTGCTGGTGCAGGTTTTATGAAACCCTATGGAAGTGACTCCTGTAATCCTGTTGGAATGACTCTGTAGTTGTATCACAGACCTACAGTTTCACTTTCTGCTGAAGACCTTGGTGAAATGATCAGCTGAGACGGAAGGCTTTGCTGCCTGGGACATTTATCTGTTAATGCAGAGGGTGATGGGAGAGTGTGGGTGCAGGGGTAGCTGAGCCATGCTGGGGACAGGGTGGGCTGCACTTCATGAGAAACTCCTGAGAAGCACACTGGAAAATATTTCAATTTGTGTGTCTTCCCAGCTATAATTGCTCAGATTTATAGACCTCTGGGGAATCTGCTTAATTTAAGCTATCGGCTTTCTTTTCTGAGAATGTAGGTTTTTGTAGCTTTGAAGCCCCATAGCACATCATGTTATTTCAAGAGCACAAGCTCTAGCAATATTAATGTAATGTGAATTATTCTCTGGTGTTAAAAATACCTGCTATGAAATTAAAAAAAATACATAATTTTAAAAAAAGAAATTATAAATTATTTGCCATGACCAATGGGAGAAACATAGGAAAACAATAACTAATTAAAACCTCCTGAAATAAGAGGGGGAATGTATTATATAACACTGTCTCTTAGCACACCTCATGAGAAAGAGGCCTGAGGAGTGGATGCTTCCATCAGTACTATTACGGTAATGGTGAGTGCATGTGGCCTCTGCTTAGCAGTGAAGAAAGGCTTAGATGTTCTTCTTTGGGGCAAAATTGCTGTCTTGGTGGGGTTTGTCTGAGTAGATCTTCTAAACATAGTTGTTCTATTAATTATGGACTTGTTCTTTCTGGCACAGAACCTGTGTCCATTTCCATGCAGTGGAATGGCGTTGTAAAAATGCTTGTCCAGCTTTGTGGCCCAAAATACAGGACCACAAATATATTTTGCTAAATGTTTAGGTTTGGAAATAACTTCTAAATGATGTATCTTTTAATTCCAGTGAAAAACAAGTGATTTCATCTAATGTTGTGTCTAATCTAAAATTTGTGGTGAAGCAGTTCAGCAGGAAAATTAGCCCTGAAAATGCCATTCTTAATGGAGATGTTCTTAAAACTATTTGGAAAAGAAATGTGGTAGTATTCAGCTTTTCCTGTTTTGTGCTGAAGAGTATTAATAGTTTGACCTCAAAATCCAGTGTTTCAATAAAGTCATGTTAAAGTTTAATGAACTTAAATGCCTTTCATCTTGATTTGAAAGAACAGCAGAATTTGAAATGTTAGAGTTTCTGCAGAATATTTCATTTTCCTGACAGGTTTGCTAGTGACAACCTTTTTCTAATCTTCCCTGTTTCTCATATTTTTCTACCTTGACTCCTGTGGCTTGATCTCACCTATCAGATACCCAGACTGCTCTGTGCTTAATAAGAAGTATTGCTGTGATGGGTCTGGGATTTTTAAAATTATCATTATTTTTCCCACCTTTCCTTCTTGCCTGTCATTCTCATTTGTTTTGACTCATCTGTTCTGCAGCTTGTTTGTGCTTGTGCTGTGTCCTCTCAAACTGGTCTGTATTACTTTCACATTCTACATTTGCTTTCCCCTCCCACTTGTGTTTTCTTTTCCTGCAAG